CCGCAGATCATACTTTGACAACCACTGCTATAAAGCAAGTAAAGACATGGCCCCTGCCCCAAAGAACTAAGCAGAGTATGGCACTATAGGAAAGACTAGGATGTTGAGAGAGGTAGATAACAGGCACAGGCGTGGAAGGAAGAAGGCACTTCTAGAAGAGGGTGGTGGGATTCTAGCTGATACCAAAACATTTGTAATAGAGAGAGGAAGGAAAAGGTATATGATTGACAGATTCCAAACTGCACTCACATTTTTCATGTCTGCCGGGTAGCATCTGATCCAGTAAGCTCTTTGGGGCAGGGCATGTTCTTTTTATTCTTTCTGTGGGGCTTTACATATCAGCCATTCACACAAACCTTAACACACCCCCCCCCCCCCCCCCCGCTTTATGAAATGGATTCATGGACATGAATGTATATAACTCAAAGGTGGTTTGAGTGAACTGTTTCATGTAACCCATCAACCTTCATGTCATGGTCTGCTGCTTCTGTTTATCTTACTCTGTTGCATGTATCATTTGTGTGTGGAAAATTAGACACATGGAGTGGGGAATACTTGGTGAGTTTCAAATGTATGAATGGGAGACATGGAGGGTGTTACCTGCAACTTCTAGATGAGCCACTGTTAAACAATCTTTTGTCCTTAAGTCTGAGCAGTGGTTGGTAGGGAGTGGCCTCAACTCCTTAACAAAGGAAACAGGAAAGGAGAGGCCTGGGTCTTTTTGGCTGGGCTGCACCTGAAGGAAGGCGCCTGAGACCCCAGAGTGGGGAAGAGAGCCCTGGTTTAGACTGGTAGCTGGAAAAGAGGGTTTAGGGGGAGTTTAAGTTTGCACTGAGGTTTCAGTGGAGAATTAGCCAAGCGGTTTTGTTTATTTTCATTTGTAACCTACTTTGCTCTGCCTACTTTCACTTATTACTACTTAAATCCTACTGCTTCCACTTAATAAAACCATTTTTATTTTCTCTCAAACCCAGTGTAAGCGAGTGTTACCTGGGGGGAGGGGGCAACCAGTGTGCACATTCCCCCTTTCATTGATAAAGGGGGCTTACCTGATTCTTTGGGGGTTGATCCCATCTGGGGAGTGATATCCCAGGAGGCTGGGCCCTAAACTGCACTCTCCTTGGACCTGAAGTGGTTCAGTGTCTTTACCGCTTCTCAGTGGGGGCAGGGACCTCAGCTCAGGGGAGACCAGCGGAGCTGGCCCAGCAGGATCGGGCAGTGAGGAGCCCCAGAGAGCAGGAAGGCGAGGGGCAGTGGCTGTGTCAGCACCCCAACAGGCACCCCCGAGGGGTCGTCTGTGATTGCACCCTGTCACATATATATAATACACACAAACACTCACCAGAAAGCCCCATTGTGTGTGTGTGTGCGTGTGCACATACACAGTACACAGCACGAGTCCTTCTGGTAACTGCTATACTACAAAAAAATGATAATATGCAATCTGTGAATGTGCTAAAATTGATATAGACTGCCCCATTTTTTAAAATGTCACAGCTGCCAAACTCCTTCAGTCATGGCCATTAATATGCGCCTTGGACACTGAAATGTCAGTTTTTAAAATATCTCTGTACCAATACTGATTGTCAGTTACCTGAATCACTTTGCTATCAGGAACTGAGGGTAAATTGTAATTTTATTCCAGCTGCAAGCTTGGTTTCATTTTAAATTGTCCTGCTGTGTCAGCCAGTCCACTGGGAGTCCCTGGAGCCATGGTATTTGCCCACCCACATGGATGCACACAACTTCTGCTTTGGGAAGAAATGCAAATCTGTCTCCTGACGAGGAGAAGAATGACCATGATCACCACTTAATCTTGTGCTTTAGCCACAAGACCAGGCATCAGAAGACATGTATGTTAATCCACCACTGACTCATGGTGTGACTTGGGACAAGTACTGACAAAGAAACAGTCATGGCTTCCTCTACACTGGGGCTGTGTCTAGACTGGCAAGTTTTTCCACAAAAGCAGCTGCTTTTGCAGAGAAACTTGCCAGCTGTCTACACTGGCCGCTTGAATTTGCGCAAGAACACTGACGATCTAATGTAAGATTGTCAGTGTTCTTGCGCAAATATCATGCTGGTCCCACTCAGGAAAAAGCCCTCTTGAGCAAATGCTTTTGCTCAAGAGGGCAGTGTAGACAGCTAAAAACTGTTTTGTACAAAAAAGGCCTGATGGCGATCGGGGCTTTCTTGCGCAAAGCCGCATCTAGATTGGCACGGACGCTTTTCTGCAAAAAGTGCTTTTGCGCAAAAGCGTCCTGCCAATCTAGACGTTCTTCCGCATATGCTTTTAACGGAAAACTAGGGGAATTTCACTGGTCTATCCTTTCGATAGACTGGTCAAAAACAAGTGTCCCAGGTTTCTTCCCCTAAGATTACATTCAATATACAAATCTGATAACTCCTTCCCAGTGTTGGGGGTCAATGGGGCAGTGGGAATTGCAAAGGATTGAGGACCCAGCCAAAGCAAAGCGGCTGCTCACAGATTCATAGACCCATCACTTCCCTGCCCCCCATTCTAAACACCGCTCTTGGCATTGCTGAGGGCTGCTGTACATCATCTTTTAGGCAGCATAGACAGTCTCCAGTACAGGACCACCTAAAATGTGTAATGCACCGAGCCCTAGAAAGGGGCAATGAGCAGAGCTTTGGGGCTGCAAATCTCAAGCCGCACCTTCTGTTTGCTCTTCAAGGAACACAGCAGCCCAGGGGAGTACTGCAGTGGAGTGCCTTCAGGTTAGGTTTTAAAATATAGGGTGGTTTGCTCATAAAACTTCACAGAGACTGCTCTGGCGGTCCTGGTGACTTTGCCACGTTCCCGTTTGGTCTGACAGCCTGGCGATCCTGTTTAGTGTGTGTCCTGTATACTGAAGTCATCATCGGCGCTCTATAGAAAACCTTCTTCCCCTTATCTCAAACGCATCGAGTCCTTAATGTGACAAGCCCTCCAGTCAGAAAATACCCTTCCACCCAGCTGGGAAGTCAGCAGGGCAACAGGAAGATTCCCCCCCGGACCGGAATACATCGCCCAGCTGATATCGGGCTGCTTTGCTTTATGCCGAGGCGGGGCAGTTCGCATTCAGTTTCCAGCCCGCCCCGCTGCCCACCCGCCTCTCCCCTCCCCTCCCCTCCCCCCGGCCCCC